TCTCCGGAGGATTTTCGATGATTTGGAGCAACCACGATTCTCTCCCGGCTTTCAAGTTTCAGCATCAGATGAGAGATTGAGTTGAAATTGGGGGAAAACGATTCAAGACGGAGGAGAACAAGACATGGAAGTGAAGAACAGTGGAACTGTGTGCCTGTCGGAATCGGTGAACGGAGGCGAAGATGTGTACAGCTGTAAGGAATCCGACGTTTCTTCCGCCGATCATCTTGTTGTCATGGTCCACGGTATTCTCGGAAGGTAAAAATGTCTCCGCTTAAGCCTGTGTTTTTCAACGGAATTGGAGAAAATCTGGGTTTTTGTTTTTGTTTCCTAATCATGAAAGTGTATGGATTTTAGGTAGCAGTAGACTGTTGTGTAGAAGCTCTTGTGTTGTGTATTACTCAATGGAACTGAGAGGTTTTCTTCCTAATTGCACTTCCAAGTTTGATCAGTCCCTTAAAGTTTGATTTTTTAAAACAGTAACAGCAAATTTAATTTGATCTCTCCTTGTTAAATGTTAACTCCCATTTGAATGGCCGAAAGCCATATATCTCAGTATTTTAGCTTCTCTTCGTTTGTGCTTATTGCTGCTGCTGCTTCTCTTGGATATGGATCAATCTTCTGAATTTTTTCTGCTTTTCTGACATGAATCTTTTGGGAATATAGATGTGGTTCCAAGCAGAATGATTTGGTGCACTCTTTTTTCATGGTTATGTTCTACGGAGCATTGGTTAAGATTTATTGGTTTAATGCACATATGATTTATTAGACACTTATTGTTTAAGCAACCATAATGCAAGTGTTCAGGACTTCATGTATTAACTGACTTTCTAGGGAGCAAATCAAATGCTTCTTTTCTCTTGATTCATGTTATTCAAGAAGGAAATGATTGTTGCTTAACTAGTCAAGTATTCTTTTGTCTTTATGTTCTTTTATTACTCCTTTTGAAGGTTGCCACAGGAAGAATACGTTTTCTGCATGAGTTTACAGTGTTGATTAATTTTATAAACTTAATTGGTACTATGATTTAAGGCCACCAATTCCTAGTAGTTGGGGTTGAGGCAGCGGTGGTGGTTATGACTTTTTCTTATGTTACTGCAGTACCACGGATTGGAAGTTTGCTGCAGAGCAATTCGTCTTAACACTCCCTGACAAAGTTTTTGTTCACTGTAAGATCATTATCCCATAAAACTTCCAAGAGGTGTTCTCTATCTCTATGACTTCATGAGATATCATTCATGGGTGTTATTGAATATCTTTGAGAAAACATTGCTTGTTTTGCAGGTAGTGAACGTAACATGGCTATGCTAACATTGGACGGTGTTGATGTTATGGGTGAGAGATTAGCACAGGAGGTTTGTACATAAATATGGTCGCTATACTTATTTTAGAACCCTGGCCAACAGCCTGAAAACAGTTTCTACGTATAGGTTCTTGATTTAATAAAAGAAAAGCCCGGGTTACGGAAGATTTCTTTTGTTGCGCATTCTGTTGGAGGGCTTGTCGCTAGATATACCATCGGCAGACTGTATAGTCCCCCTACAGATTCCCTCGGAGAAGAATCAAAGGGAAATATTGCTGGTTTGGAACCTATGAATTTCGTCACTGTTGCCACACCTCATCTTGGATCTAGGGGAAACAAGCAGGTATCCTGTATGTTTTTTCACTATATTGGCTAGTTGGACATTTGAACTAAATATTTGATGTTAACCGGTAATCAATGCTCTTAATGGTGCTAGGCACAAACGGCCTTGCGCCTAGGGGCCTATAGGATGGCCCAAAAGATATAGGTTTTCTTTTAATAAACACTTTCTCCTGAACCTTTTACAAATTATACTCGTATTGTATACAAAATGCTAAATTTATATTTATTTTACTTGATAAAACTTAATCTGCTGGAGCAGACGAGCAGTACATCTACGCTTCATATACAACATTAGACAACACATTTTTTGAATGAATGTCTGAAGCCTTTTATGTCTGAAGTGATAATAGCTGTGCTGATGCTTTTCCCCAACTGCTGAGTGCGACAGCTAGGCATTTTATTGGAGGCCTGCACTGCATAGCTTCAAGTCTCTTATTATCATTCAGACCTTTTTAACTTCAAGAATGGATTATTTCTTTGTGTTAATAGATGACAAATTGGGTTCTCAAGACCTAGACTCTAGCTAGTAATTGTCATTCAATTGGTCTCTTGTAAGATTAAATCCTGTCATATGTCTTCCTAAATCTAGTGAAATGTAGATTTTCTATATGTAAGAAGAGAATCAACTATTTCTTATTTTAAAATAGGACTTCTCTACTATGCATTCTCATTTGTATTCCTTTCTTCCCTAACTGTTTATAGCTAATGGTCAGGTACCATTTCTTTTTGGAGTTACTGCCTTTGAGAAAGTTGCAGGCCATGTGATTCATTTGATATTCAGGAGAACTGGCCGGCACCTTTTCCTAAGGGATGATGATGAAGGGAAACCTCCATTACTCAGGCGCATGGTAGAAGATGATGGTGAATTGCTATTCGTGTATGATATTTCAACGATCTTTTAGTATACACAAAATCATTGGATGGCCTTCTTTTGAAACAACAATCATTATGTCCTTTCAAAACTCATGTTTCCAGGTCTGCCTTGCGTTCCTTCAAGCGTCGGGTGGCTTATTCAAATGTTGCTAATGATCGTATCCTAGTTCCTCTGTTGTTGGATCATCAGTTAACGTTCCGTTTCCTTTTCATACTTAATATCTCTTTTCCTTAATAGTTTCTTGTTTAGATATTGTTGGTTGGAGAACTTCATGCATAAGGCGAAATAGTGAACTGCCCAAGGTGTACTGTTTGCACATTTTTCATTACATCCTGTGTTGCTATTTTAGTTTCTTAATATGGTTTCTTAATAATCTATTGATTGTAGTGGGACGAGTCCTTGAACGAAAAATATCCCCACATTGTGTACGAAGAACAGTGCAAAGCAAGTGATAGTAATCATGGCGATTCCATTGCAGTGGAAGACGATTCTCAAGACAAGCTGGAAGGTTTGTGTCTTTCTTCATGTTTAGAAGAAAACTAGGCTCAGTTTTTATTCTTCACTCTTTAGAAGAAAAGAGTTTTTTTTTTAGGGGAATTTACGTAAATAGCACTAAAACATAATGACTTTCTCTAAATAGCATCACATGTGTTTTTTTCCTAATGTGGCACTTTTAGTCATTATCCATTAGTCATTATTCAAGTAAATGTCTGCCATCACTGGACATTATGGACATTATCAAGTGCTATTTAGGGAGTAAAACAATTTAAGTGCTATTTAGGGAAATGACTTACTGTACGTTTTAGTGCTATTTAGTGCAACTATTTCTTTTTTTTATTCAAAGTGTTTTTAAAGGTATTTGTGGGATTAATGATTCATAGTTTTACCTCACAAAAATAAAAAATGCGGTAAATTGGTGACTAATGTTCTTCTTTTATCTCTGGGATCCATGATGATGCAGAGGAATTGGTGATTCTCTTATCTCGTGTGCCATGGGAGAAAGTAGACGTCAGCTTCCATAACAGCAAAATTAAATTTGCAGCTCATAGCATCATCCAGGTCTCATGTTTGAATTGTTTCCTTAACAAATGGAATTGGAACTGAAAACAATAGAAAGTCGAAAGCTCATATATTCCAGCTGTAAAAATTGCAGGTGAAAGCCCAGAGTGCGCATTCAGAAGGCGCAGACGTTATACAACATATGATCGATCATTTTCTTGTATAGGTCTCAGTTTCTGAAGAAATTCGGAATGCTCGTTTTTTGGGAGGTAAGCTCCTATGATATACATATATGGTAATGGGATGGAGCCATGTGAGCCAATCAAAAGGAAGGTGTCATTTTTTTTTTTGTAATATTGTCACTTTTTGAAATGGATGGCAACCATGTCTTCATCCCACCAAAATATCATCCCCATGAGAGTTGTCTCAAGGAACCAACTCACCCAAAAGCCAAGATACGTTATATACTCTAATATATAGGGGTTGGTTTCCGTGAGAATATCCCTAATGTGAGAATATGAAAATAGTGCATTTTCAAGCCGTCGTGATGCATTTTACACGTGTAGTAGTGCATTTTCGAAAGGTTCAATTTATGTAGAAAGTGTATTTTCAATAATTGATTTGAGGTGATTACATGTATATATATACTAGTAGTCTCAATCCTAATTAAGGTAGGAGAGACAAAGTAGGAAGGTGATACAATTATAGCAACAATATAATACAATAATATTAAATATATAAACAATATATTTAACATGCTCCCGGCTACGTCGGATGTGGAAGCGATCTGATGCCCAGACTGTCTCTGAAGTCAAGAAACAGAAGTGACGGGAGCCCTTTGGTGAAGATGTCAGCATACTGGGAGGATGATGGGACGTGTAGGACTCGAACGTGGCCGAGCGCCACTTTGTCGCGAACGAAGTGGATGTCGACCTCAACATGTTTGGTGCGCTGGTGCTGGACGGGATTGGTTGAGAGATAAACGGCGCTGACATTGTCGCAGAAGACAAGAGTGGCTCGCCGGAGAGGTTGCTGCAGCTCAAGTAGAAGGTTGCGTACCCAAGTGGTTTCGGCTACGGCGTTTGCTACGGCCCTGTACTCAGCCTCTGCACTGGATCGTGAAGTGGTTGCCTGTCGTTTGGACGACCAGGAAACAAGATTATCCCCTAGGAACACGCAGTAGCCTGAAGTGGAGCGCCTGGTATCTGGGCAACCGGCCCAATCAGCATCGGAGTAGGCCTGGAGATAATCTGTGGAGGAAGGTGTCAGATGGATGCCATGAGTAGTAGTGCCGCTCAGATAACGAAGAACCTGCTTCAAGGCGGTGAGGTGAGCATCGCGTGGTGTGTGAAGGTGAAGACAAAGCTGTTGGACCGCATATGTGATGTCGGGCCGAGTGAAAGTAAGGTACTGCAGTGCGCCCACAATGGATCTGTACATGGAGGGATCTGAGAGTAATGTGCCTGTGGAGGAGGACAGTTTGGCCTTTGCATCGACCGGAGTGGTAATTGGGCGACAGGAGATCATCCCAGCACGCTCAAGTATGTCATGTATGAACTGAGTCTGATGAAGAAAGAGCCCTGTCGGCGTACGATGCACATTAATGCCAAGAAAGAAATGTAGGTCTCCCATGTCGGTCATAGCAAATTCTGTTTTGAGCTGGTGGATGAGGCTGTGAAGGAGTGATGCAAAAGAAGCAGTGAGGACAATGTCATCCACATAAAGAAGGAGGAATGTTGTGCCCGTCGTATGTGAGAAAATGAAGAGGGACGTGTCAGCCTTGCACCCGCGGAAGCCGATGGTCTGAATGAAACCGGCAAATCTATGGTACCATGAGCGGGGTGCTTGCTTGAGCCCATATAGCGCCTTCTTAAGTTTGCAAACATAGTGTGGTCTGGCGGCATCCTGAAACCCAAAAGGCTGGCTGGCATAGACTGTCTCCTGAAGGTGGCCATGCAGGAACGCGTTTTTTACATCAAGCTGGTGAATAGGCCATCCTCGAGACAGGGCAAGGCTAAGGACAATTCGAACAGTAGCAGGCTTGATGACAGGACTGAAGGTCTCGTCGTAGTCGACTCCAAAACGTTGATTGAAGCCACGGACCACCCATCGGGCTTTGTACCTGGTTAACTCACCTGTGGGGCCAAGTTTGTGTCTGAAAAGCCATTTACCGGTGATGATATTTTGTGAGGGGGAGGGGG